ATAGCTATTATTTTCATAATCAGTTCATTAAAATAAGTATTTGAAATTAACGTTATCTGAATTCTACTTTACATTAATTATTGCAGCAGAATTGTTTTTTTCATCTATTATAGTTTGACCTTTCGTGCTGAGCTTAATACAAATGAATTTATAATATTATACTAATCAAGAGATTAGCACTAAATTATGGCATTAAATATCTGAATTTTATTATATCACATGAATTATACGTATGCAAAAATTAATGTAAGTTTATTGAAAATTAGATTATTTTAATTGAACATGCATCTGACTTTTTCAGATTGTCGATTAATTGTTTGTGTTAAAGGATCTCTTTTTTAGTCTCTTTATAATTAAGGATCATAGTAATTAGTTTCATTGAAAATATTTATATACATTCCTAATGGACTAATCTATATTCTATTTTAATTTCAATATATTTAATTATAAGTAAATACAAATGCTTTTCAATTTATTTATTTCATTTTTTATGTAGGACATTTTAACATTGTCAAATTTAGTTAAATAACTTATATTCCATGATTTCAATACCTTAAATTTTTCTTACAATTCTTTATAAATTATTTCTTAATAAATATTAATATTAAATTATTGGTTAAATTTAATAGTTAAAATTATTTTTATGTATAGTTTATATAATAACAGTGTAATTATTATCTATTTATATTATAAAAAGCAATGAAAATGCATATAATAAGATATTTTAGAATCAGTTGAATTCTCTAAACAAGAATTTCGTTTCTAACTATTTAAAAAATTCACGTAACTTTAACTTTTAATATAAGTTATGTATATGAGCACTATATACCTATATATGTAAATGTATACCTATATATGTTTAAATGTAGTTGCGCAATGAAAAGTAATTGTAAGACAGAATGAGAGATTGAGAGAGGGAGGGTGAGAGAGGGAGGGGGATGAGAGGGAGAGAGAAAGAGAGAGAGAGAGAGAGAGAGAGAGAAGAGGGGGGGGGTGGTGATTCTTGTATACCATAGGATTATGCGACGATAATTGCCAATTTAAATACATCTTTCTATACATGTAACGCTTTTGTGTATCTGGTTATGTAACCGTGTATATAATCAAATACAGATGTAAATGCAATGTGGTTTTAAATGTGGGTGAGGATGAGTAGTTACCATATACCTTCAATTATTCCTAAGTAAATTATATTATTCCTATTTTATTCATAAGGTTCTGTATTCATTTACAAGTCGAGTCGTTGACTTGCGTCTTTGAGATCGGAGATAAGTTTATGTACTGGACAGGAATAAATGGATATCTATGCAGGAATATTGATTCGAATCAAAATTTGAGAGGATTCATAATTTAATATTAGACGATCAAATTTCACCAATTTTCTTTTTTTTTTATTTTAAACGATTTATTTAATATTGCTAATACTTTGTCGTTAAATGAACTTTTATAAATGATCTTTTCAGTTGTTCTTTATTGTTGAAATAATTAAAAATAGTTAAATACTATTTCTCATTTCCTCTCAATATAATAATGTTATTTTTAAATTAATAATTTCCAACTCTAGACCTTTTAAAAATAATGTTGTTTCAATGATAAGATACGCAATGGCGTTTTAACATATGGGATTTTTTGTTTTGTTTTTGAAGTGACTAGAAGATTCGGTATTTCTTTCATTTGCCATAGTAATATTTATATATGCCATAGTAGGCTTATTACTTTAGATGTATCGAGTATGCATCTCGATTTTTCGACGGACAGGCTTATTGTGTACAGTTATGTAAATGGAATGAGTGTATAATTATAGGGATGGGTAAGGTAATGTTCATCAGATAGAGAAGTATTATATCAAATTTTTGTAAATAATCTGCTTGTTATTTTGGGTAAAAATTCACTTAACAAACTCTAGCGCGAATAGCTGGAATTATTTAGATACTCGATATAGTGTTGAAATAATACAATGCGACGGTAATTGGTTAATTAACATAATTACATAAAGTTTATGATAGGCTTTTTTTTTTTTTTTTTTTTTTTAATACGTAGCCTCGTTAATTTTATTAATTAAATAGGCGATTTGAAGGAGCGATCATTTACTGAAATTAATAAGTAAAGAATTAAGTATTGATATGAAATACAGTGAAGTAAATAATTATGATCGATAGGCCTATGGAAATGTTTTCTCCTGTTTATTCGAGCTCCTCGTTCACCGATAATAGCCTCGTAAATTTCTGTTTAATGGATGTAGAAGAGTCCGAGATATGAGATTTGGGCTATGCATCGACTAAATAATTAATATTCAGCTTAACATAAATTGATAAAATTCGCTATATAATGGTAATTTGTTTGCACATTGAATAGAACTCATTGTCAGTCCAACATTAATTGTTAGCAATTAAGAGGAAAAAAAAAAAAAAAAAAAAGAAAAGTGAAAAAAAAAAACAATCATTCAAGTTAAAAATACTGTTTATGGACATTATGTTAGATAAGTTGTAAATTTTTTTGCCATAAAATAATAAATTAATCAGTCAATAGAATACTTGACGATTAATTTATTATACATGCTAAAAGCGTTATTCCTAGTGGTGATAAAAACATAAACGTATTCGTTTATCAAAGCATTTATCAACTAATTCGACAGAAAGACCCCGATATTCTTCTATTTTAAGACCCCTAACATTGATCATATTTATTAATCATATTTATCAAAGATATTTAATATGTAAAAGATGCTGGTGAAATTAATTAGCGATTGAATGAGAGAGAATGAAATACCGATTAAATTTTGAAAGATAAGCACTTTTTTGCTATTTATATTACACGGAAGTTTTTATTGATTTGTGTTAAAAAATGTGATAAAAGAGATAAATGAAATAATGATAAATGATTAAACAACGATAATACGTCACGCAAAGCATATCTTAATGATTTTTATTGCAGAGGTGGCCTCGAGCGCTCATTGTCGATAACAATTAAAGATAACAGTAATAATAGCATTAATAATTGTCGGAAGAATAAAAAGGTGTTGGGGAATATGTGAAGGATTCTAATGAGGAATTATGACTCACTCTTACCTTACTTAATTGCTTTCTACTGTTTATAGCGAGAGCATTAATAATACGATTATAACGTTCTCAGTGAATGATCATATGGAATTGCAATAGCGACTGAAATTATTATGGAATGTCACAGGCTAACTGTAATATCAACTGCCACGATCGAGAAATTATCAACTCCGATGCGTCAATTAAACACGCCAAGTTCAATCATCTCGGCAAGTTATTTCACGTTCCGCGAATGCTTTGATATTTATTTTCCAACTATATAACGTAATACCGACACTTGTAGGCGAACGCGTAGAAAATTTGTACCTACTATAGAGGGAAAAAAATTTTCCTCGGATTTTATGTCATTAATTTCAAGTGCATTGAATTAAAGTGCATGGAGCCAAGAAGTAAAAGAAAAACGAAAGAAAAAAAAGGGGGGGGGGGAAAGCCCAAAACTTGCTATACCGAAGTAAGATAAGAGTATAATATCGTAAATATAGTCGCGAAATAACGAATGAGTGCTCGAATTGGCTTTCTTAATTAGCCGCTAATTACGCATATTATTCGGTATGAGGTAAATTCTCACCAACTCATTAGTAAGCTCAACTTAAATATACTTTTGCATCGAAGTCACCTAAAACTGAGCAGTGCGAGGACTTTAAACTTTGCATCAGTTTGTATTTGTCGGGAGGTCGCGTGATCTGAAATACGTGCGTGGTCGGTGGAGGGATCGTGAATAATTTTCTATACGCGTAAAATATGCGTAAAATATGTTAGTGAAAATGTGGCTCGAAGTATTCTTATCCAACTTGATGGACCTGACCAGGAACGAATGTCGCCTTTCGGCAAAGTGCTGCGTTCACCATTGCGGATGATTTTTCATAATTACAACGCTAGTTAAGTGCCCAGAATTTATCAGCACGTGGATTTTTGCATTGAATATATAATTTGCTACGGTGGCGTAGTGCATTTCATTATTCACTTAATCTTGCAAATTAATAATTGCTCGAATAAATGAATTTGTATTTCGATTTGACGTATCTTGATGTTAAAAGGATTATTTTCATATCAAAGTAGACTATTTCATTTCTATATTGCTAGTCACAATTATTTCCTACCAGACCTATCCAAGCTTTTCCTTCTTTTCTTCCCCTTTAACGCATAAAGTAAGCCATACATAACGAACAATTACTTATCTTATAACCGTTGTCATAATATTGTCGTGAGATGAAAAATAAGGGTGATTTCAATGAGCTTTTCATCGATTTCGTGTCCTTAAGAATCCACAAAGCTTTATTAATCATATGTGCTTTTAATATTAATAACAAAGTACTAATTGATACATTACAATATTATCGAACGTATACATTCATATAATAATATTAATAAAAAACTCATACAAATTAATCATCATCGAAGTATATTATTTTCAAATTCTTCACCCACATGTTTATTTATTTATCGAGCTTTTCAAATCGTCTCTCGGCAGTTTCATACGTAGCAGGTGAAGAGTCCAAGCATGTGCAACGATATTATATCTCTGTAGCTACGGTCTCACCTACTCACTTTATTAAATTTCTGCTTTCGTAGGGACGCCCAAGCATCGGGGAATAAGGAAATAATTTGGCGATTTGGCGATTTGGCGATTTGGTGCAGTCTGTGCGCGCTAAAAGCGATCGAAGCGAGCAACTGTAAGCTGCAAATGGTTGGCCGAGCTTTCGATCGAATTTCTCCGTGAATTTGATGCGCCTATGTGCACTCGGTATTCACGTAGTTGGGATGGGTTTGCAAATAATAGATGGGTCGCGTAGAGCGTGGGCGAGATAAGCTACGGCCATTTGGGATGCAGTGCCGTCGGCCCGTGGCAATGTCAATGGAAAATTTCATCGGCGCGGAGGTGGCTCGCGAGGATTAATAATTTCATTGCAGGAGCGCCGAGACGACGTTAATTATTAATTATAAATAAGCCAAGCCAATGTAAGATTATGTCACGTGCGCGAACTCGCGTGGAGCAGCGGCGAATTAATCGAGTCATCGGCATTCGTCGAGAAAAGCGCGCGTGCAAGCCTGGCATACGTTTCTCGAGAACGTTTCCGGGACTTGGTCATTACACGCGAATGTAGCCTGGAATAGCGAGACGGTTTGTCGTAGGCGGGAAAGCCCCCGCGTTACTCCTCACGTCGGAAAATGCGATTCTCGCGCGATAAACGCTTGGCTCGAGCAAGCGCACATGCGACGAGCCGAGCGCCGAATTACACGGAAAAGCTCTCTTTCAATTCCCGTTCACGTCCCTTCCCCGTTTATGAGCTCGGCGATCACTTCTTGGACTTGTTCGGCCGCTTACGCTTCTTATCCTCGGGTCGGTACGGTCCGAGCTTTCGACGCACCATGACGCCGCGCCACCAGGCCTGAATCCTGATCGTTTGACGGCGCACGTGATCCTCGTGCTCGCGTTTCTTGCGCGCCGCCTCCTTTTCCGCTAGGCAGCCGTCGATAAACTCCTGCTTGCTCGTGTACTGCAAGAAAATCGGCCACATTCGTCAAAGGGTTGCTTAAACAACGGGACTGGGGAAGGGGGGAGGCAGGGAATTGAGTGTATTATAATACGAGGTCGCGATTATGAGCTTACGGAGAAAGGGGGTAATATTGCGTGGCTGGCAATTTTAAGGCTTTAATGAGAATTTTAATGCGATAATCTAGGTTTTTCGGCCTTCCGTAGGAGCGTGCCCGTGGATTTATCGCTCCGCCTCACTCCGCCTCACCCCGCCCCTCTGGCTCCTGTCGACATCAATGCTAGAGTTGCATAGCTTCAAGTCTGATTGAATTTCCCAGCAAAGGCGAAAGTCTTTGCTCGCGAATTATAATACGATGAAGCTCGCGGGGCAAGGCCATAATATGGAAAAAGCTCCTCGTCTCGTCAAGCAGACTTCGTCGTGCATTGTCTCGAATAATAATCGAAAACATGTTTAAACAAAAGTAAACTACTCCAAGCCGTCAAGATAGAGCTACACGCTACTTGATTTGGATACAGTCCAAGAGGAAAAACTTTGAATTGTGGAAACTTGGCGGAGTCGGGTGATGACCGGTCGGCGAGGGGGAGGGGCAGAGCCTCCATTGCACACGCTTTTAAGTTATGGCGATACTACACTTATTGCGCATATTGGTACTTTCGAATTCTGGTGCTTTCGAACGGCTTTGTACACGATTCGTGCACCTTCCATAACTTATTTAGGCTAGGAATTTATCTCAAAAAAAAAAAAAAAAAAAAAAAAAAAAATCTCCAAAGAATGCTTATTCTTTAAAAACACAATTAAATTAAGCAAACAATAAACAAAGGGGAATTAATGTGTACGAGAGTGGACTTTGAGAAGAAAATAACTTTTTTACAACTTCGATTGTAATTTTACCGGCATTTTCGCCGAATTGAAGCAGCGTGACTATTTCAGGAAACTTTCTTTCCTTTCTAATGAAAGCCCAAGTTCATTTTTACAGTAAAGCATCCATCGAAAGTATAAATTTGCCATTTATTATGATTCGATAAAAAATTTCTACTATTTTACGAACTCAACGTTCACATCAAGATAAGTAAGTAACAATGTCATAAATTTCATTTATGTTTCATAAATGTCCATTACTCCATTATACCATAACATGTCAGTTTATGCGTTATATAGTTTATAGATTTATGTATGCGAGCGTTATATTGTAAATGAATATCACGTATACGTATTATTTTACTTTAATTGCGCATTAAATCTTACATCTTTGGATTTATAGTCTGCGAGATTTTAATATATGTATATGTAACGCGATTAAAATTTATAAGTTGTAACACTTAAGCTATACAAATTGTTTTGTGTATTTGTAAAATTTCGTTCAAGCGTATGCTAACCATTACATTTAGACGAATTTTTCAAAATAATACGTTAATTATGTTTAATGTTTAATGTACTCTCGAGAGCATTGAGTAGGCCGGCAAGTTAATACTTCAAATGGCTTTAATAATTTTTTCGACAATTTATTCTTTCTTGACAAATTAACGATGAGCTGAGAGCTCTTTGTACGCAGGGATTCATAATACTAATGTCGTCGAATTTATGTCATTGAACTCCGTAATATAATCGATAAAGCAAAAAAATAATATCATTTACGATATGAGTACTAAAATAATCTAATAATTAAAATCGAGATTAGAGCGACAGTTTCGTTATTAATAGGCTTTATAAGCTAATTTTCAGTTGACCTTGTCATTAAATTTGCATTTAAAATAATCTAACTTTGCGAGAGAATTTTCTCTTAATAAAACGTGTAAAATGAAGCAGCCGACCTTAAGTTCAGCCGACCGTCAGATAAAATATGCACGATGAACAAACGTTATTAATCATTGAGAGTTTTCGTTCACTCGCCGAATCACAGCAGCACAAGTCAAATGCTCATTAAATTACTCCTATCTGATTTAAACAAAGCCCGACTTGTAATTCTATGGGAAAATATGAATTAGCGAACGAGAGTTTGCTCATTCGTAAGAGTTATATTAGCATCACTGCCATTCCATGAACAAGCACTATTTATCTACGCTCGAGCAAACTCGTATTAATATCGTTTATGTCCTTTATCTTTTGTATTGTTATGTACACGGGCGTATGTATGCACCAACGTGGATAACAAAGATTTCAATCCTAATATGATTCTATGGAAATCTACGAAATTCAGCTTATTAATGTTTGAGTCTACATTCATTAACGATTCATTGGAAATCCACCTTTTTATCTACTTTTATTTATTATATCACGAAAAAGCGAGATTGCGACAGGATACTGAGATAAAAAAAAAAATTACTCGTAGCTTATAGCGTCAATTAGTAAATTTCGTCCTCGTCATCAACATCCCCCGGTAATTCCCGTAATTTCACATTGCGTGCAAATTATCCCAGCAAGTAACGAGACTCCGTTGCGAGCTCCATGACAATTAGAGCCTTAGAAGGGGATCGCATTCCCGGGTATTCGCGCCCATTTTCGATTCGTGCATGGAATTTGACGGAGAATCCCCTTGTCTGTCGAGCCGAGTAACACTCGAGGACAAAATAGTCGAGCCATCGAACTGCCAAGTGAGAGTGAGAGTGAGAGTGAGAGTGAGAGTGAGAGTGAGAGTGAGAGTGAGAGTGACAGTGAGAGAGATGAGAGAGAGATGAGAGATGAGAGAGAGATGAGAGAGAGAGATGAGAGATGAGAGAGAGAGATGAGAGAGATGAGAGAGAGATGAGAGAGAGAGATGAGAGAGATGAGAGAGAGAGATGAGAGAGATGAGAGAGAGAGATGAGAGAGATGAGAGAGAGAGTGAGAGAG